CTATTACTATATTATTATCTTCTACTGCTATAGACTATAGGGGTAGGAGGGCAGAGGAAGAGGAGGGAGAAGGAGGCAGTTAGGGAGTGGAAAACCCTTTAGATAACCTATATTTACTTATTTTCCTAGTAAGAACTATAAGGGTAGGCTTAAAAGAAAGCTAAGATTAAGGCGGTTAATATGCTAGCGCGATCGTTCGATTTGGACGGTTGTGGCAAAAGTTATAGGATAATTGATTTTTATTGCCTTTTTATATAGGCTGAAAATTATTGTTTTGGACTATAGCATCCTTAATTGATTTTTATTACACATCGTGTTCCTCTTTTTCGGGTGATAATGGCACCAAGTACTTAGGGGCCGGACTGATACCTTATACCCGGCTGTTGCCGTATGAAGACTGTATACAGGCTCAGGACTGCCTTTGGTTGCCATCATCACCGTTGCAGAATGTGTATCATGATGACTATATGCATCTGCCTTGAAAGCTAACCTGGTATATCAAGGCTTCGGTCTTTTGACAGGAACGTGAACCTAAAATTGTCGTTAGCGTAACTTTCCCTCCATTTATCTGTTGCGTTGAAATTACTCACCATCCAGTGTAAGATCTCATAGATAATTTGGCCTACAGCAATCCCTGTCGTCTCTGCTACGCTGTCGTAGATGGGAGTAAATTCCACCACATCAGCGCCCACGATCTTGATACCTGCATCTGACAGCCCTCCGATGATTTGCAGTAGCTGTTCTCATTAGCAACTTATGCTCGCTCGCATCATGAGTTCTGATTTACTTCTCTTGTTGTCCAGCCTCCCGGCTCGATAGTGCCTGTTGCTGGAGCGAAAGCAGGATCCAACACGTCAATATCAACACTGAGGTACACGTATTCATCCCCGACAGTCTTTACGATCTGCTTAACGACTTTCTCAATTCCAAGCGTGTCTAGTTCCCGCGCTCGTATGTAGCTAAAGCCACATCTCAGATCATTGTTGAGATCGTAATGCTCGTCGAATAGGGCGCAGCGGGATCCAAGGTGCATGTTGCTATGATTGGATAGCAGACCTTCCTCATGAGCTATATGCAGCATGGTGCCGTGATTGACTTCTGAGTACTTGGTCAAACCACCGCCAAGTTGCTTAGGGTTCCAGGTATCCAAGTGGCTGTCAAAATGGAGGACTGCGACCCGACCCCACGTTGAGTGAAGTGCTCGCAGAATTGGCAACGCTACATGAGAGATTATTAAAGAGCCCGAGGACGAAGCAATTCAGTGCTTACTAATAGTGTGATCGCCGCCAATTGTGATAAGCCGCACCGCGTCGGAAGTAGATTCGTTTTTTGCCTTGAGTTTGTTGATAGCTTCCATACCCCGCTCTAATTCATGAATGGCTGCGAGCTTGTCGAAAGGTGTATTTGAAATATCACCGCAATCAGTGACGGTGGCCCAGTTACGAAATGGATTGACGCCTCCGTGATCCATACTTAGAAACATTAATATTTGCTTGACTGGCAAAGTTGTGAGACTCACTCCCAACCGGCTTCTGGGCTCAGTCTTCGAGCACCCTGTCGAGCAGCATGCGGACCAAATCTTTGCCCTGGCCGATAAGAGACACCCAGATCAAAAGGATGACCAACGATACCAATGTCAAAGGTGCCACTACTCTCCAATTCGGTGCACTTGGTGAAATCGAGATGCGCAAAAGTTCCTAGGCCTTGGAAAGGATATTCTTCGGAATCGCGAGGATTGTATGTTGGGGCTAGAACTTCCGAGTCTGGAAGATTGACTACATCTATGTTCCTACGGCCAAATATTGATGATTCAATGAAAGATGAAGGCTCTTTAGCATGGGCATTGCTCAGGACTTCCTGAGGGTGCTGCTCGTTTGCTCCTGAAAGGGAGCCGGTGACGCCTAATCCAAGCACGGCGAGCAGACGAGGAAACATGTCTAACAGTAGTTGACGACAAAGATATACAAGGAGAGAAGCAAGCGAAACTCCAGTATAGATATCAGCAATCACAAATGATGCTGGTGACTGTCAAGACAAAACATGAATTTTGGTCAAGACTTGACCTAGCTCCTTTTAAGAATGTCCAGCCGAAGAAGTTCTTGTCAAAACATCCGTCCACGCCAATCTCCACCTATATCCTCAGGCGCATATTACCCCTGCCAACCCAACCCCAAAAGTGCTCGCTAATAATAGAGACGGTGGTTTAGTAAGCCGGCCCGGCGTTGATGCGTGCTCTACTCCGTAAGTCTACTCTCTTTCTCTTTCTCTTTCGTTTTCATCCTGTCACACCTCACCCCGCTCAAGAGTGAGATGCTGTTGCATTGCAAACTTTGCCTCTCTCTTGCCTTGACGCAAGGTAGCCTGCGGCGCCAAAAATGGGTTATTTCAAGAGATATGTTCTCATATCCGACCAGAACGCGTGCAGTATTCACCAATGAGATGTTGTTGCATCACGCCGAGTTGGGGGCCAGTCCGCCAGACTTCACCTTTCCTGCAGAAAACGAAACATTTCACAGTATTTTACTGGACATCCACTGGGCCCTTTACGAGAGGTGCATTCTCGTTGGCTTTCTTGCTTCAGCTTCAGGGCCAGGGCCAGGGTTTCGATCAGCACTAAGGTTTGTTACCTCCGCAGAAGGTGGGTGCATGTTATTGTATACGCCGTAAGGCTGTCCAAGCTTATTTCATTTCTATCTTTCTCTTTTTTCCTAATGTATTTAGACTTCACAGTCAATATCTCCCCCACATCGACAACGTATTTCCCTACTGTATTGATTGACATGGGAGACCACTGTACATTCACAACAATTTAGTCTTGTAGTTACCTTCTAAAATACACACAACCTAACGCAAATCAACAACAACATGGCAGCAGGCAGCATCGCATCCAGCTCCTCTGGCTCTTCAAGCAACTCCAGGGGAAATAACAGAGGTCAAGCATTCATGCTTGTGGCGGCGCCTCCACCTAAGAAAACGAAGCAATCTCCCCAAGCATCGATTGACGAGTTCTGGTCTAAATTCAATAGTACAACTCCAGGCAGAGGTAAGCTTTATTTGAATCCCCTTAGAAGACAATTCATTTACTAATGCCATGTTCCTACAGCTACGACTATCCTGCCGAGAGATCGGTATGCAAAGCAAGCCGAGGAGAACGCTCCGAAAGGGATCATAGATGGGGCTAACCCGGTCTCATCCTACGACGAAGCAGCAAGGCTTTGCAGAGAGAAGGTGGAAAAAATTGTGAAGGAATGTCGTCGAGTCAACCAGAAATATACCGACAAGCATTTTGATCTTGAGTTTGATTTAAAAGGATGGAATGGGAAGAAGGACTGCCTCAGAACTCTTACAGCCACCTCTGAAGATGACCCATATGTTAGTTTCAGCCCAGGATCTGTGAAGCGAGTCACCGACATTTTCGACAAGCCGCAGTTTTTTGTCCAGGGCGCTACTGCAAATGACATTCGTCAGGGCAGAGATGGGGATTGCTGGTTGCTTGCCGCACTGTGCACCTTGGGGAATAAGGAAGGCCTCATAGAAAAAGTCTGTGTCGCCAGAAATGAGCAGGTTGGCGTCTACGGCTTCGTTTTCCACCGCGGTTCGTTATATACTACCTCCTTGCTTTCCGGAACTATCTTAGGAGCTCAACTGCTCAGCGCCTGAACGCAACCTTCACAAAGAGCCCCTACTGATTTACCTATAGATGGCGAGTGGATTTCGGAAATTATCGATGACAAGCTGTACTTGATAAAACCTGACTACGACGAGAGCTGGAATGAGCGCAATCTTCTGGATGAAGACCGTCAACGAATCAATTCAGAGGAGGATTATCGCAAAATTTATCAATCAAACTCTGGTGCATTGTATTTTGCACAGTGCGAGGATCCTAACGAAACATGTCAGTCGAATTTTCATATAGAAAGCCATGTTTTACTATATGAGCTCAGAGGTTAAGAGCTATGTTAGAGGCCAAAGAATGGTATTCCATCGCATGTGGAATCCTGACTCTTGACCCAGCTCCTATGTTCTTTAGCTATCTAGACTAATTTGCTTTTTCATCATACTAATATGTGGAGCAGGGTTGCCATTATTAGAAAAAGCTTATGCCAAAGCTCATGGAGTATGTTCTTTTGCATCCTGCTATAGGCTGTAGCTCATTGTATATAGGATTTCGCTGCTATCGAAGGCGGGTTTACCGGAGAAGGTCTTGAAGACTTGACAGGCGGGGTAAGTTTATTTTCGTAGGAAGACTCTATCTTTCTCTACAGGAGCCAGGTCATTGTTTCAGGTGCCCATGTGCTCATATGCCGGTTCCCGAGACAACTCCTGGGCTCCGCTGTTCTCTCTATACATTCAACTTTTTTCCGTGCTAATTCGTTGGAACAAGGTGACAACTGAGGTGTTCAGCACCGATATTCTGGAAAAGGAACATTTCTGGCAGGAAATTCTGAAGGTCAATGAGGACTTTCTTTTTGGCTGCTCAAGTAGTGTTTTCTGGGGGCGAGGCAAGTACCACAACTTTTCCATTTGTTTTCTATTCTAGCATGTTTCGAGGCTTTGTAAAACATGCTCTAAAGTACATTTTTTCGAGTCCTTTAGAATGTTGTACGGCTTTTGGACCATTGAGACGTACTCATGAATATCTCCGAAAGTCAAAGCTAACTCGCCTCTTCACACAGGTTATCGAAGGGGCATCTATGAAGGTCATGCATATTCCATTATGAAGGCCGTAGAGGTCGACGGAAAACGGCTGTGCCTCTTAAGAAATCCATGGGGAGAGGGAGAGTGGACCGGGCCATGGTCAGACGGCAGTAAAGAGTGGACCCCCGAATGGATGCAAAAGCTGAACCACCGGTTCGGAGACGACGGTAAGGATCCCATTCATTTCCCATTTCAGCATGTTTCGGGAATCTTATGCCATGTCTATAAATCACTTGTTCTATGAGTGTCAGACGGCTCCTGAGTCATTCCTTTGCTCCGTAAAGAAGGAAAGAGAAGGAAAGCTGACTGCCCGTGTCTTTCAGGAGCATTCTGGATGGAGTACTCGGATTTGCTGAGGAAATATCAAACCTTCGATCGCACACGGCTGTTCACCGATGAGTGGAAAGTAACTCAACAGTGGACATCGATGAGCGTGCCCTGGTCTGTCGAATATAACAAGACAAAGTTTTGTTTCATACTCGAGAAAAAAGCCAACGTCGTGCTTGTTCTGTCGCAATTGGACGACCGTTATTTTGCCGGCCTTGCAGGCCAGTATGAGTTCGAGCTTTCATTTCGGGTGCACAGGGCCGGCGAAGAAGATTATATTGTTCGATCTCATGGCGGCGTAAGTATCACCCCGCGTATTGGCAAGTTTCAAAGTTGAATACTGATTAAATCTCTTCTAGTATTCGATGCGCCGATCCGTGACTGCAGAACTGGAACTCGAAGCCGGGGAGTATCATGTATGCAATCCCCACCTTAAAATCCAAATTTCGTTCAGATGATTTGGACAAGGTCCATTTCAATATCTCAGAGCTCGAAGGTTCCCGCAAAATCCTGCTCAAGCAATACTGACTCGTGAGATTTGCAGGTCCTTGTGAAAATAGAGGCCACACGTAACACTAATGCCTCTCCCGTTGAAGATGTAGTTCGCAATAATGTAAAGGAGAGACGGGATAAGCTGTTGAGAATTGGTCTAGCATATGACTTAGCGCATGCGAAGGGAGAAATCAAGGAGACCGAAGAGGAAAAGAAAGGACGCAAGAAGGCCGCGGCTATTAACAAGGCTAAAGAGAAGAAAACGATGAGAGAAAAGCTAGAGCAGGAGAAAAAGAAGAGGTACGCTATTTTTTCATTCGCCTGTCTCTATACCTTCGGCGTCGCAATACTGGGTTTCCGCTGTGGCTTGTGTAAGGTGTATAATTTCCCACCCACGATCGAGTCCCCAAGGCATGCGGGCTCAGACATCTTTTCAGCCCTAGAATGCTCACTCGTGTAAGAGTCTAACAGCCTGAAAATGGAACAATGGGCTCCTTGCTCTTCTGAGTTGGGACCTGTGTCATGCCAGGATAGGGGGCAGAAGATGAAGCAAGGACACTATATACTGACATTGCCCCTCGACAGAACTCACAACGACAACAAGGAGAAACGGAAGCTGCGAGCTGCTGACTTAAAGAGGAAGGAAAAGGCTAAAGCCAAGGCCGAAAAGCTGGCTGCTGCGAATAAAGAGAAGACGCAGAAAGATACTTCTAAACCAGAAGCGAAAGCAAAGGCTGTTAAAGAGACAAAGTCTAACCAGAAGACAGAAGCCAGACCAGCCGAGCCAGAGGCAACCACTGTTGAGAGAGAAGAGCCAGTCGCCAATGGACCTGCAAATGAGCAAGCATCCGGAAAGTCAGAGACAGCTATTGCCGCTCATGTGACTGGCGAAGCGACTGAGAAGAACGAAAACGAGCCTCCTTCCATCGATTTCACCGAGAAGTCCGAGGACACCAACGCGGCAGCTTCAAAGACGTTAGAAATTCCCATTATTAGTGCAAGGGCCTCTGTAGCACCGTCTATCTCGGGGTTTGATTCCGATGGCGAATCAGACATCGTCTCGGTAATCTCAGATATTTCATCTGGGGTCGTCTCAGACGCGATTGCTGAAGCCAGCAAACTGGTGGCCGAGGCAGCCAATGTCGCTCCTCCACCGCCGAACTCGGATGACGAGGATGAGTTTGAAAGGGACCCTTGGAACGCCATTGCCGTGGTCGGGCTGCGAGTCTACAGCAAGGATAGTGGGGTAAGCGTCAAGGTAATTCGGCCAAGGGATTGGGAGCATGTGGAAGGCAAAGGGGAGGCTAAGCTGGATGTGGATGATTCTGCTGCTGATGCTACGAAGGATATTGAGTTGAAGGGTGGAGCGCAGGAGGAGAGTAAGAAGTAAAGGGGTAGTGAGGGGTCTGGGGTTATTGTTTGATTTGTATCCATGGGCAGTTGAGCGCTTGGATCTCTTACCTTCCACTGTTTCTTTGACCTTCCTCTTTCTCAATTATGATTGCTATCATCTGTCAACTATAACGAGATCTCTGGAATGTCAATAACATGGCATGCTCGATGCGCCGATTTTGACAGTCGCTCAAATGCGCTAGAGAGAATGCGGCCAGTACAGTATATCATTTCGACTCATCTCCCCTCATCTCCCCTCATCGCTTAGCGACTGACAGCGGCGGGCGAGTCTTAGACTATCAGTGTTGTCTAGCACATAGGCTATGAAAGTTCAAAGGCTTATTATAGTAGTCAGAATGCACGCCTATATTCGGAAGCAGTATCGTGTCCGGACTAAGTTGGTTGCGCCGGACGAAGGAGGAGCTATGCTAGGCAGAAACATCTCCTCTTCGTGCACATCCCATCACTTGGAGCCTCTCCTAAGCCATGGATTCATTTATTATGCTTGTCATGATGCATGCCATGGTTCCGTATTTGCTCGGTGGGTCCTGAGCAAGTGTGAAATTGCTAAGAATGGTCTTCGTGGTAGAGTCATAATGGAAGTTCGCGCATCATGTCAAGTTTATATATATATATGCTGGTCCATGCTGTTGCTCCCGTCCTCATTCTCGATTCAATCATATCTCTTTTATTGTTCTCACCTTTATACGCTCAAGATGTTCAATGCAGAATCTACCAAAATGGATCTCCCACCAGATTCCAGATCAGCTATATTAGCTGGGGAGAAACAAGTCGGAAGAAGTGTATCATTGACTCCATCTGAATCACTCAACCAAGAGAAAAATCCAAATGTGGATGATCCGACTACAGAACATGAAGAAGACTCATTCAAGGACACTCCTGCTTAGTTGCATCCCACCGGGATACGGATAGCTTTAATCGTTATATCGCTGCTTTTATCAATTTTCCAGGTACGATATCAATATTCTTCACTGTGGGTAAGTAAGCTAAACGGCATCAGGGTTTGTTTGATATGACGATCGTGGCGACCGCCATTCCTAAAATCACAGATGACTTTCATGGTTTGGATCTTCTTGGATGGTAAGTAACCTGTTCGAAAGTATCGTCCCTATCTTGGATAAGTCATGGGTGCTGTACTCTTTAAATATGTTTGGAATAGTTGGCTACTACGTCAGTTAGTCAACTTAGGGCAAAGCGTACAAATACTTCCCGATGAAGACGACGTTTCTCATATCTATCTTTATTTTCGAACCAGGCAGTCTCGTCTGTGGCGTTGCCCCAAACAGCACAGCCCTCATAGTAGGCAGAGCTATTGCAGGTGTTGGAGGGGCCGGTATTGCATCTGCTGCCTATACTCTCATCGTCTGCTATATCCTCGCTCTCCAATGCGGCGGCCAATCGAAAGCTTGTAACTCTTCAGACGTAATTGGTACCCTAGTCAGCTTCGCTCTCCTCATGATCGCATTCTGTGCAATCGAATGGTACCAAGGCGAGCGTGCAATAATGGTTGAAAGATTGCTAAGCTACCGCGCGATATCCGTCGGCAAGTTTTACATATTATTCCTCTCTGGCGGATACTTCCTCCTCGTATATTATCTACTTCCAGGTTGTCAATGGAGTCACAGCTTCCCAATCCGGAATACGGAACTTGCCCCTTATCCTCGGAACCGTCATTGCAACCACCACGTCCGGTCTGATCACATTAACTGGCTCCTTCGTCCCCTGGCTCATCGGTAGCAGTATATTCTCCACCATCCGCTCAGGCTTACTCTACACACTAACCACGCATTCCAGCTCTGCGCACTGGATCGGATACCAAGCCATGGTCGGCCTTGGGTTGGAGCTGCAGTCCAAGTCCCCATCATTTCAGCACAGGCAGTCGCCGCGCCAGCTAATCTTAGTTCCGCAACTGCCAGGGTATTGTTCATGCAGACAATCGGAGGAGCGTTTTTCGTCTCGGCAGGCAATACGGCGTTTGCGGTACTCTTACGCGACACTTGCCTAGATACGTGCCCGGTATCGATCCGAAAATGGTGGTCACTGTCGGCGTGACAGAGATCAGGGCAACGTTTCCCGCGGACGTTGTTCCGGGGATCTTCCAAGCATATATGGATGGACTGAGGGTTGATTATGCGATTGCTATTGCGAGTTTGGACATCGCAGTGTTGATTGGTCTGTTGAGTCATTGGAGTTTGAAGGGGAAGGTTGTCGTTGGTGGTGCGGTTTGAGGCAAAAGGCCCGGGGAGAACGAAACATGATTCGCGTATCTTTACTTAGATAATAGCAAAGCGTTGAGGCTTTGATTTGGAATGGAAATATGCATTGGAGATGGGGTCGGGTCCATAGACATGGCAGGATCATGGTGTCTAAAGACAGCGCTTACATTTAGGTTTTTATTTCTGGTTAGTTACTCAAGGTAAATAGACACTTCGACTTGATATGCTTTTAAAAAGATATTATATTACTAGAACTTGGAATACCGCAACCTGGAGGTTTTATGATTGGCAACAGAAGTTTAGTGAAGGGTGAAAGTTGGAATACCACAACCTGGAAGGTTTGACGACTTGCAACAAAAACTTAATAAACTGTACCACATCTCATGACTATTCTCGCAAATACTGCATATCACGCGAGCGAGATAACACTGGTATTTCATAAAGGGGTATATCAATTTGCGAGCTCTCTGCTCAAGCAAGCCATGCATCATAATGCGTAAATCCCATCATATCCTGGTATCTATAGTACAGCCCAACCAATTCCACGCAAGTCGCTGAGTATCTTCATAACCTAGGCATTCTGCTTCTGGATATCCACCTCAGCACCACGCTGCTGTGTCTTGCCAACATCATGCTTCTCCTGTGCCCTGAGCTGTGCATCGCGATCGCCTGTAACACCAGCAACAGCACCCTCAACCGCGCCTCCAACACGACTTTTTACTCCGGAACCGAAGTCGTTAAGTTGGCCTTGCGCTTCTTGGCCTTTGCCAGCAGCGTTCTGCTCAGCTCCTGTTCGCTTGAGATCCTGTATTTACATACATCAGTAACCGTCTTGGTAATAAAAGGTTATGGAACAAGGGGTAAACAAACCTCGGAGCCAACCAGCCCACCCACGCTCTCCTTCGCAGCTCCTACAGTCTGGTTCCACGCCCCCTCTTGGCGGTTGGGATCGTCCTTGGTGACCGCACCAGACGAGGACGCAGAGAATGGGCCAACCTTTGCGGTGGCATGGGAGAGGTCTTTCTCAAACGCTGCATCGTCCTTCTTGACTTCGCCGGCATTCTGGTAATTGTCAGCTGTGAACAGAAAGCAATACCTGTCACAAAGTTTCAGGCAGAGTGGCTCATTAGAAGTCGCTGAGAACCACAGCACCAAGCTGTGGAGGGAAGAGGTATTACCTTGTCAGCAGAAGAACCTGTGAGAGAGCCAAGAACAGATTGAGCGGTTCCAGTGGCAGAGTCAATATAGGACTGGAGGGTGGAGGTGTTCTTGTCAGACATGATTGGTAAAGTGTTATTTGATGATTTAGGTTTTTGTTTGTGCTTGAAGGTAGATTTTGAGGTTTCAATTGTTCTTGTACTTGTACTTGATGAGGTAAAGGAAAGAAAGAAGTTGTGAGGTTGCGTGGAGAGAATTTATGTTATACTTTGATCGATCAACAATGATGTCATACGGCAATTCAGCCTTGCGTACAAGGAAGGATCGCAAATGTGCGTCATATCAACTAGCGTTTTCTAATTTTTGAATGGCGTGGCGTTCCCGAGTCTATGTGGGACCGGAGGCAGCCGATAGAGTGATAATGTTCTAATGCCCCTTTCCTGTGATCCTGGCGTTAAAGAGCATCGAAGACTGCAGCTACCAGTCACTAGACCACAATCATGTCTAGAGAAAAATAAATAGTATATACTGTATTAATCATAATTCTATCCTCTCCCTATCCTCTCCCTACCTTCCTCTAAAGGAGTCGGTTGAGGCGCTCGAGCCCGTCGAGTCTATACTCATGCTAATGGCTGAATCAAATCTTGAATGGACAGGACTCTTGGTCCCACTCTTCTGATTGTTCTGAATCCGCTGGTACTTCTCCTCATCCCACAGCCAGATCATATGGTGTGCATCCACAGCACCTTTCATTGATGTATTCTTCAGCCCTTCCGCAAGCTTCTCGCCCACTGGATCTTCTTTAGCGAGACTGAAGTACCGCCTTGGAAAGTCTTTCCCTTCGCCCTTTTCTTGCTTCCGCATCTCTCTTTGCTCGTTCTCAATTTTAGATTTCTCCTGGCCGACAGCAAAGATATCCCCCTGGTTAATTGCATCTACGACCGGCTTCCAAGCGCGCCGTGACTCTAAGTGATGTTGATTTTGCACGGGGGCTACAGTCAAAGGTGTCCGTGAGTATGTGTTGACATCGACCGTCTCCAAAATGTTCTGCCGGTTACCCTCCTTGATCGTGTATTTATCGTTCCACTGGCCTTCAGCAACATATATTGGCTCGTCCTCATGGTTATCATGGAAGATAGTAGCCAGAAATGAATTTCGCTTCCCGCTAACCCAGCCTTTGCAGTGATACTCGATTTTAGTTGTGTAGCCGGATGAGCTTCTGATGTATGAGGTACCTGATAGTTCAGGGGCGAGAGAAGCGGACATAAGCCCTTCAACGTGAACTTTTGGCATGGTTATTAGGTGATCTTCGTTGTATTTGTCAATGTGCATGGTGCCGTAGCCTTTCCGGTCGATGTGTACTGTGCCAGAAAAGTAGACTTTGGGTATGATGTGACCCTGCAGCTACCATAAGTGTTAGAATTAGAGCATCTTCGACACGGGTGTTTCGACGTACTCGAATACCGTGTTCAGTATTCCAAACATTAAACGCGGTTGCGGGTGGATGATGGCTACCGTGTTTATCAGCATTGCTCCTCCCTATGTTCATGTATTGAAACTCACCTGACCTGCTCACTAACTAACTCGGTTGTACCCACGCTATCAACCCACTTCCCTAAGAACAGCTCCCCGAGGAAAGGATTTAAGGGCTTCATTTTCTTCTTCCTGCCGATCTCATCCTTATTACTATGTTGTTGCTTCAGCGTACTCAGAAACCACTTTAGTACACTTAGCGCCCGCTTCTGGGCATCATTTTCATGCGCCGGCGCAACAAATAAGTTGGGATGTTCGGCCCAGTATGCGCTATATTCAGTGACAGATTGCGGGGAGAGGAGGAATGGAGGCGCGGTCAGGGAGGACAAATCGCCCTTAAAGGTCGCGATTGACTGTATGTGATATTAGTCATGGACGTAATGGGCTTTTGCTATATCGAGCAGAACGTACTTTGATGAAAGAGAAGAATGCACCCTTCTGCGGAGTAGGGATTTTCTCGCTCTCGCATTTACTGGCCATTGAGACCATTGGAACACAATTCTTTGGGTATGTTGTAGAGATATGTAACAAGAGATAATGAAGCTAAGAAGTAAGTAACAGTGAAGCGCAAGCGATTATGGCAGACAATAAGATATAGTGAGACGAAGGACAGAGAAGGAGAGGGGGAATGAGAATGCTTCTACTTGTCCTACATATACCTACAGGGCAAGAGCGTTTGAGAGCTCCATTCTAGGTTGGGGGAATGATCCAGGGACCCGCAGCTGGGGCTGTTACATGCATTCGTTTGCGACGGATGTTTGGTCGTCCGAATCTGTAGTTCAGACTTTTGGAACGATAGCTGCTTCACATGTGAATGACGATTAGAATCCCGGAATCTGGTCACGTGGATAACAACCTAACTCCTTTCGGATATCGCTCTCTGCTGAGAAATGTATTTAGACCAGATGGATGGAAGCTCTACAAGATCAAAAGCCTCATATCAGTTCTCGAACTGGGCTTATTGGAAGGTGCGGTGTACTGACACTCGCGTTAAAATCACATGAGAGGCTATGCCTCATTAGGGCATTGCTATTCTGGGCTTCACGATTTGTACGGACGTACCCAGGTGCCGCATAGAACAAGATCCTAAGATATAGGCACTGCTAGGTCAGGTAAATACTACAGCTGCCGCGTGGTAAGCTTGCGGTCATGCCACTACTCGAGTATTCTCTCCAGGACGAAGCCCGTTAATCTTCACATGTAATGGCAGTCACGTCTGGTTAATAAATAGTAACGACGTCGAATTGAACGAAAACTGCTGATGAACAGTCAGGGGTATCAAGTACAAAAGTGTGAATCAAAAGTATCTATCCCAAGGCCAAACGCCAGTGCAATTTCCCATACAGCGTACTGTAATCAACTTAGAGTGTCATTCCGTTGGAGTCATCACCACTCCTCCTGTTGCGACTCTGGCAACGGCTCTTTTTCAGTTCCTGCTCCGTATCCATAAGTCGAGTCTGAATCCAATTTCTATATCTCCTATCACCCCTGACACTTTCACAGTTGAGCAGGGCTGTCAAGGTGCTCTTGATTTGCTGGTTTACATCCTTCAACTTGATCTCATCTTCCTCGATCTCACCCAAGAGACTCTCGGTAACGACTGTCGGCAGAGACGATCTTCTAGTCTTCAATACGGGTCTCTGGGGCTGAGGGAATTGTATGCTGCCGCTTCGATGATGGTGTCTGGCACATTCGGGAGGAGAAGATGATAGATAGCTTGAGTCTGATCCAGCTGAGGATGAGATTGATCCCTGTCGATATCGATCTGGAGAGGGTTCAGGCGATGAGGAGGGTGCTTCGGGGAGGGATGTTGAGATCTGGCTTAGATGCTTCTGAAGGGCATCATGTTGCGAGTGGAGGAGGAGATATTTCTGCAGAGCAAATGCTCGCTCTGGGGATTTCTGAGTTGGATCCATCGCGGAAGACGATGATCTGATTGATCAATGCGCGGTGTTTCTGGCGTTACTAACGATATCATGGAACGACTGACGGACTGACTTTGGAAAGAGTAAATCGATCTGGAAGATGGGAAAGTGAAGTGCGTAGAAATATAAGGCATCTTACAGTAGAAGTGACGTATGCCGACTTCCTTGACATCACACAGAGCGACGAGTCCGGAGGTCAGCTCCTTGGGGAAGGGCAAGCCACAGCATGGAACTCGTGGCTCTCACACAGAATACTTGGACGTTTCATTGGATCACTTGCGCCTATCCATCGACGAATCTGCGTAAAAGAAAGGGAAAGACAGTTTACAGTAAGGTGGAAAACCTGCTTGGAGTGCCTGCATAGTGTGGCGCAAAGATGTGGCGTCATAACCCATTTGGGATGACTCCCTCGACCAATAGGATTGCTCCCTGCTACGTGGAGTCCTTGCACTTGTTTCAAGCAGTTCTCAGGACCATGGAACACGGAACAGCTCGAGCAACGATCCGCGCGTACTGACGCAGACTCGCTTGTTTGGGACATCTCTGCTCCCGACAAAAAGAGATCGACCGATAGCAGGATACGAGTACGGAGGTACGGGTACGGTTGGTCCAGTATTAAGAAGCAAGACGTGTGTGCTGTCCTTGAATCCATGTGTTGTATTCTCATTGCACCTCATTGTATTCTCATGCACCTCATTGCACCTCTTTGCACCTCATTGCAACTCAAATAGCCTTGGACCTTGGACCTTGGCACGGCTCCAAGTGAACTGGGACTTCTCAGGTGCTGAACAAAACCGCGACCAGAAACTGGCTGGATTGCAAGACGAGAGGGGTCTAATAGCATCCTGACACTTCCATCCTCTATGCCATGTTACAGCTGCAAACACGACAGTATCCTCTATACAATGGTACAGTACCTACTTTGCTCGGTTGCGAGTCCAGGTACCGAAGTGTACGACAGTGCCGTCGATGGCCGATTCCAATGTTAGCTGGTCATATACGTCAAGGCGTCCGATGGCGTGGCTCCCCCTATTCGTTTCCAAGGTCAGCAAGAATGCCCCAAGACTGGTGTATAAAGGAAGGGGCTTTAGGGGAACCACTGCCGTCTGGCGTCCTGATGGGATTTGAATCACCAGAATAGGATGCGGTAACGTAGGCTAAGAGAGACAGAAACACGGCGAGCAGAGGGAGCGAGAAATTACGAGAACGATAAAAATATACAATGATCTTGTTCTTCACTTCCAATATCTTCAAGTGGTTTCTTGTCTCTCACGGCTTTACTAATTAGAGGTGGAGAATTCTTGAGGAATTCAGGCTGACAATACCATTCGGAAAATCATTCTCAGCAAATATTCTAGAATGGAAAATGGTCCATATCTTCCTGTAGGTAGGACTTCACAAACCACGGAGGAAATACAACCTATTCCACCCCTCATTGACCTCTCTTAGTCTGAAGCCTATCCACGTGAACACGTTTGGCGCTCGGACCGCGCCTATCAGAAGTTATCAGGTGTGGTTTCTCTTCTCTGACAGCTCAAGTGGATTCTAATCTGCTTTTGTCATTTTTGAGTTTTGAGAATGCGTCGAAATAAAGTTGACTCAAACTTTAGCCTCAATCCCCGATTCGTGGAAAGCAGGCCAGGGCTTCACGGAACGCCCGCAGTACCCCGCAAATACCGAAGGACAACAAGGGAGATCTATAACTGAGTTTAGGCACCCGCCGAAGCCTATAACTATACGAAGTAAGACTTACTTCCATGTGCTCCAATTACGCGGGTTCCTGGACGCCTTGTGATCTATGTCGCACACGCTGAACAGGAAAGCTCCCCGTTTCCTCGTCTGACTCGAGACTTGGCTGAACGACCTGGAGGAATTTGGATTCCTGTTCCTGGGATGGAAGAAAAACCGTGGTCAGCGGGAACTTCGCTCTCGTCGAATTTCCGTGGCCTCCTCCTATTGTTCATTTGGCACAGTGGCGTATTGTTAGCCTAGATGCATCACATGAATGTCTGCCCACTCTACGAGGCTCTCGTATTGATGTGGAGCTTTCCACGAATGAAAGATGAAGTAAAATTAAGAATCCTCTATGCTCTCTGAACCAATCTCCTAGAATGAACTTTCATACGAAGTATAAGGAGAATGCTTTCTCAGGACACTTTTTTGAGCAGTGACTTCATTCACCACACCCGCCAATATGTTTTCTCTCCTCCGGTCTGCAACAGCTTTTCTCATCGCAACTGCATCTCTCGCACAAGGCTACTCTAACCCCGGAGCATGTTCTGGTGCTTGCTGGGCCCACGACCCTTCTATCATCCAGCGTACGAGCGATAATTTATACTTCAAATTCAACACTGGAAGTGGAATAGAAATAGCGACTGCGAGTTCGCTAAGTGGTCCTTGGACTCTCACGGGTTATGCTCTCCCAAGCGGAAGTAAGATCGACTTGGCTGGTAATACAGATTTATGGGTTAGTAGCAAGCAGCCGCCACATATAAGTATGTTACTGATCAATGCAAATTTAGGCTCCCGACGTTCACAAGGTTGGAGATCTCTACTACATGTACTATGCCGTCTCGACATCCGGATCACAGACCAGTGCAATCGGTCTTGCGACCAGCAGCACGATGGACGTAGGTTCTTGGACTGACCTCGGGGCTACCGGAGTAGCATCGTCTCCTTCAAAAGTGTACAATGCGATTGATCCAAACCTCATAGCAGTCGGCAGTAGCTACTACCTTAACTTCGGATCCTTCTGGCACGATATCTACCAAGTGCAAATGAGCTCGGATGCGAAAACTCCGTCTGGCACGTCAGTCAATATCGAGTACGACGCAACCGGTACACATCCATGCGAAGGCAGTTACATGTTTTATTACAGCGGCTACTATTATCTGCTCTGGTCTCATGGAATATGCTGCGGATATGATACGTAAGTGAAGATGTGCTCTTGTTCGCCATGATACTGACATTGTTCCTCAGGACCAAACCCGCGACAGGCGACGAGTACAAAATCATGATGTGCAGGTCGACATCCGCAACTGGCGGCTTTGTAGACCAGAGCGGTGTTGCATGCACCTCAAGCGGAGGAACGACACTACTCGCAAGCCATGGGACTACCTATGGCCCAGGTGGACAGCAAGTCCTTCCTTCCCTATTGTGCCACCAGGAGCTAATTTGTTTGGAACAGAGGTGTGTTTACAGACTCAAGCAAAGGACTAGTGCTCTACTATCATTACGCCGACACGGACGTAGGACTAGGAGATGGCAGTTACCTGTTTGGTTGGAACGTTCTAGGATGGTCGAACGGGTGGCCGACTGTTTAGATGGGAGATGTGGAAACTGCACGGGAGGGGGGCGACAATACTGTACGGGTTTTGTCTCCGGGAGAAGTTCAACTTCACACTTGTGAATAATGTATATAGGACTTGATTCGATAGTCTTCGCACCGCTTGGTACGGAGTGCTTGTAAATAGCCAAATTTGAGGGATTCACGATTCACAAACTTGGATTGGTGTGAACAAAGCTTTTCAGTATACGTGTTGTTCGCGATGTGTCACCTTGTTATTGGATTTATAGTGAAGGTGGCTGGGAAGAGTCTCAGTTCAGGAGGCAGAAGCCAATCAATTGGTGTGTACCTGCTTGAATGCAGGGTTTGCTAGGTACAGTACACTACTACACTGCCGGCAGGCTTGCGGTGAGCTGAATAAGCGGCACCAATGTATTCATGTTCCAGTGCAGTGGGACGAATCAGAGTCGATGAAAATCAGTGCTGCTTTTTGTGTCCAGCACAATGCAGGTCGGCCCGCTAATCTATGGGCCGAGTGGGCTTCCAAGTTCCCACGAACTCATGGCTCATGCATGCCCCGTGACTGTTCCGTAACAAAACAACAATCACCAGCCATTTCACTTTACTCACCACCACCACGCCTTGGAATGGGAATCGAATGCCTCTTTCTGAGCGCCGTTCCAACCACCAGATCAAATACCGAGGGCTCCTGTGTACCTACCTACTACCACCTTATCGTTGTCGGAGTCGCGCCGCAACTATGATACAGGTACGACGCGACACTCGGAATTCAGAAACGACCTGGTAGGACGCCCAGAGACTATTGTGATGGCTGAGGACCAGAATCTGGAGGCCTTGATAGGTCGCATTCCAGCTGGTACCTCGACGAGGCCCGATCTCCACTGCTGCTGTGGAAGAAGCGATTGCGCATTTCTAAAACATAATTGCACCGCGCTAGATGATTTGGAAAAAGAAGTTCATACTGCTGCTCAGCTGGGCCAGGTAGGTCACATTCCTCGTTGTCTCGGGTGGAGATTGAAAGGTCTTTACCCCCGGACTCCATGCTTTCTGCATTTTGCTTTCTATTCAAATACCTGCAGTCAAGATGTCTAAGGGACTGACTTTTGCCCTACAGGCTCTTCTGGTCAGGCATGAACAGTATATGCAAGATGCCGAGCGCGATCGCCTGGATATGAACTCAACTATTGAGAAACTTGAGTGTGATAAGAAGGAGCTGGAAACCAAGAATGAGAAGACCAGTATCGAGAATCGCGGCCTATTAAATCAGCTGGAAACACTCAATACAACTGTGTCAGACTCCGAACTGCACATTAAATCTCTCGAGAACACACTTCAGTCAACACGGCAAGAATTACGACGTTTGGAGGGGCTGGCATCGCGGACTCTTGAGCTCGAAATCCAGTTGGCGGCCTTGGAACAAGAGCAAGATCTGTTACAGAGGACGGTCACGAAGACAGAAGCTGAAGAACGTTCTGCCATACAGAGATGGAAGAAAGCCGAGAGGGGTCTATGCGATTTGCAAGACCAGCTGGAGAGGATAGAACGCGAAGCAAGGGATGAAAGAGAGCGGCATGTCGAGGTTCTTGGTCGCATGGAGAGACAGCGAACGGTTGAGAGGGAATTAGACACCGCGGCGGGACGACTGAAGGCTGCAGCGGCCACGACAGGTCATGGAAAGAATGGCAGTAACGTCGTGTCACATTTCGTCAAGGATATCCTCCAGGATAACGCGAATTTGCAGATGGGAATCATAGAACTGCGGGAGATGCTGCAAAGTTCGAACGATGAGGTAGAAGAATTACGGCTGCAACTCGAGCTGCATCAACCTCTTGAGGGCACTGAGGATGTTAGCGGACCATCGACTTTGAGGGCAGAGCTTGCTTCAACAGATATGCCCGAACCACCGCCCATCATATCACAGGAGCTCCACATCCATCACCATTATCACGTTCCGAAGAAAGAGATTCGCCCCAAAAAGAAGAGAACATCCCTTAACACTTCACTCTTCACTCCGCCGCGGAATGCTCAGAGTCTAAACACACCTAGGAACCAGGATACTGCCAGCGCGATCCTTTCTCAAACAGCCGTCACTATACCAACAACCCCGAACAACAATCGCTGGTCGGTGCAGTCTGGTCATATGTCGGATTTCGCTCCGTCATCTGTACCAAGTTCGCCTCAATCGATGTACAGGAACAGCACGTTATTTGATAGAGGATTTGATGTCGATTCATCTCGTCCCACCTCCCCTGGGTCAAGTATCGATCCAATATCACCACAATTTCAACCAATCCGTCACCGCAAACGGGGATCAGAAGTGTCAACTCGGAGTTTCATACCTCCTTCCAACTTCCGACCAGATAATGTGATCAAGGAAGAAGATGACGACGTCGAAGAAATCGGAAACCTAGAAACACCTAGCGTACCTTCATTAGACGACGGCATCACTCCTTCTGATAAATCTCCGGATTCCGATTTTATGCAGGAAGATGGCGACATTTGGAATCCATCCTTCCAGCCATCACATCGACGCTCCAACTCCCATGAATCCGTTTTATCCATATCGGGAATCGACATTCACACCTTGAAATCTCGACCATCCCAGTTCACCATCACGCGCGGAAATGCAACGCTTCGTCCACGATCAAGGCTCGGGGCACCCGCTTCCATGGCTACCGTTAATACGATGGTTACGGCGCGTCCGACGCTTTCTCGCCAGGGCCACGATAGCTCCACATACCTCCGTTCCAGCATCCGTCAGAACAATTCCGACTCTCGTTCCATCAACTCTTCGAATTCGGGCGAAAGTCCCTCCACTGGTCTTAGCGGCAAGCTTGGTGGCTGGGTCTTCGGCCGCTGGGGCATGAGTCCTGCGAAATCATCCGAGAATTTGAGAGTGCCGAATAGAAATCAACAGAGAGTAGTCAGCACGCCCGTTGATCCGTTAAAGGCGACATTCGGCAGACCACCAGGTGTCAACCAGCAAGGACCCATACCCGGCTTCGTGAAGAGGACGGAGAGGATGCCGAGTAGCGTTCAATCAACTACAGTCGATCATGAAGCCTTGAGGGAGGTATTAATGGAAGGTGAAGCGCCAGGTTGAGCTAACTAATAATTGGTAATGAACGTACATGGGGGGAGGGGGAAATCATTCTTTATAGATATAGTGCTTTCATTTGTTGGATATGCATGAGATATGAGTTATTTGGAGTTCGGCATGGATGGAATACCCTGTGATGTTAGATTGTGATACTGCTTGCATTTAGAAGTTAAATTTAAGTTAATGATTTCAGATATCTATCCTGATGAAATACAGTTTGTATTGTTCTTCAAGGTTGGTCAAGTCCAAGTCCAAGGTGTCAAAAGCCTTACATAACTAAATACAACATGAGACTTATTCATTTCTCACATCCTACGAGGAATTCTCGTTCTTACAACTCCACACGCTACCCCACGGTGTGCTTAACTATATAGTTAAGCCACGGGCGAAAGCATGCTTCATCTCCGCCACAGTCGTGTACTATGCTCCCGGCAGCCTTCAGACTCCCTGCATGCATCCCCTACCGTAGTGCACAGGCCCTTGAGCGTGCAGTGCATACAAACCTTGCAGGGGTCGATTGCCGGGCCGGTCCGGCAGTTTATCCTACCCTGTCTTGCTATATATAGAACGAAATAAGAAGTTCTCTCATCAAGTTACTTGGCATGTTGCTGGTATGGACGGAATGGTTAGGAGTGATTCCATTTCTTGTGCCGCCGGTGCCAGAAGCATGTTTGGGTATAATTAAGCCATGTAGCAGGGCGAGCCATTCTTGTATGGTATCAAGTCAATCCTGCAGCCGTATAAACATGAAGTGGAAACGGATCGATGTCTATCTAGGTTCGCTAATCCGCTAGTAAATCTCGTAAGTAGGGAATCTTCGTCTAGGAACTAGCTCGAGGAGAGAGTACTGCGTGATTTTGCTGCAAACATTTGATCATTTCTCATTCCTAATATTCATTCCATTCCATCAGCAGTCCTCAAATCTGCAACTCAGCCGGCACGCTAATACTAAGCGGATCAACCCCCTTCTTCAGCTCACTTTTACTCGGCATCTTGCCCCTCCGCATGAGTTCACTAGACTGTGCCATAACCGGATCAACTTGCATACTCGCAACCGCAACCACTGTCTCGCCCTTTGTATAGTACGCCACGAACTTTGCCTCTTCAGGGCTCCCAGTAAGAACCAAATCGTCCCATCCATTTACGGTGTTACCGCAGTAACGCAGCTGGCTTCCGAGTGCTGACCAGAAAATTGGGATGAATGCCTTTGGAGGCGCAGATGGGTCGACGATGTGAGCTGCTGCTCCACGACCGGCGTTTTGAGCTACATTCCAGTGCTCGATGCGTGTCAGCGCGCCGTCACCTCCGGGACCATGGTAGGGGTAGGTAGCAATGTCGCCAATGGCGTAGACATCCTTCAGGCCTGAGACAACAAAGTTCTCATCAGTCTTGAGAGAACCATCTTTTTGTAGCTCCACAGCTTTATTGTCCTTTAGGAAAGTGGTGGCTGGTCCAACACCAGTGCCGAGGATCACGAGATCAGCTTCGAGGGTTGTGCCATCTTTGAGGAGAATGCCACCGACATTTGACGAGTTGGACTTTGAGGGAACGGCTTTTTCGACACCAGCGCTGAGCTTGAACTTGACACCGTTCTTCTCGAGGGTCTTTTGGAAGATCCTACCGACTTCTTCACCCATAACCCTCTCCAATGGAGCCTTTTCCATTCCAACAACTGTAACATCGTTATCCTTGGCGACAGCATTGGCGACTTCCATGCCAATGAAAGAACTTCCGATGATGACTATCTTCTTGTTCTTATCTCCGATAGCTCCGAGGATAGCCTTAACATGTGGGATTGTGCGAAGGAGAAAGATGTTGCTCAGGTCCTTGAAACCTGGTAGGGGTAGACTCTTGGGAGATCCTCCAGTAGCTAAGACCAGCTTCGTGTATGGGAATGAGCTTCCTCCCTTTGTTGAAACTTTCTTGGTAGAAAAGTCAACATCAGTGACCTCATCATTGACATAATTGATTGAGCCTTCCTTGAACCAAGCTTCATCTCGAAGAGCAATCTTGGATGGGTCGTCGATGAGAGCTTTCGATAGCTTGGTCCGGTCGATCGGGGGGTATCCTTCACTTCCAATCAACGTAATTGCTCCCTTGAAACCGTTCTCGCGAAGTGCTTCCAATGTTCCAAGAGCTCCACTTCCTCCACCAACAATAACCACCTTCTCTGAGCCAGCAGTCCCTGTGATCTTGATATTTGGCTTTCTTCGGCTGCCCTTGATGCTTTGTTGTTCACCAGTGATGTAGACCCCACCATTCTTTTCGGACAATTGGAAGGAGGGCAGGGCATCGATGGCAGGTGCATTCTCAATGTCTCCGTTTGAAGCCTTGAAGCAAGCTATTCAAATTAGCAACAGTATTTTCGGATTAAATCACGACTTACCTCCATGCCATGGGCAAGTAATCCTTCCATCACCAGTCAGAACTCCCTTTACCAGCGGGGCTCCATAGTGGGTACACTTGCTTCCCAAAGCGGTAGTCTTTCCTCCCACGTTCAATAGCAGCACCTTTCCCTCCTCGATGCCCTCGACTTCGACTTCTCTCTTCTCGCCAGACTTCAGATCGAGGCTGGTGAGGCCTTTGAGCTTGTATTCTGGAGCCATGATTCGTGACGTAGTGCTGAATGTTTGGGTAATGCTGAGATTGCGGGGTGAAGCTTGATGGAGGAACTGTCGAAGTACAGTGTTTGTCGGGAGTTTTAGAGAGAACATAAAACAATGTGGAGAGGGAAGGAAGAGGGAAGGAAGAGTGGAGGAAAATGGAAGAGGAATGGGTAGTGGTGAATGAAGAGGGGGAGGGAGGGAGGGAGAGCTACTTTGTGGTCAGTTGGGTGTGGTGGACAGTGGCATATTAGAAGAGGGATGTCAAGGTGATGTGGCGCCGACAGGGGGTGTTCTTTGAAACTGCAGAGCTGTGATTGGCTCATTCTCAGCATGCTTGAAATAACGTCACTACTGCATTACACTAGTAAAGCCATTAAGCTTCTTATACCCCTCCCTCCATTCCACGCCAGCATATTTATCTCTCACTGACTACCTTACCTACCTTAAGTATATATAATATCCTACTAGTTATTGGCTATTTATACAAGTGCGAATGCATATATGTATACAGCCACCGACTTAAACTCCTTTCTGAACACTCTGGTCTGTGTACTGCACGTGACTATCTCCCCTTTTCCGCTGAACCATAATATCCACTACCGGCCTTTTGCGGCGTGTTTCAAAATTGATGTACAGAGAATGGAATTGGTTTTGACTTGTATGTTACTAGGAGGCCTTTAAACTCTACAGTATCAGTTTTGTTTCATTTTCCATATCCACACCTCCAACGGATGCGGTTCACTCTCAAGGACGTCTTATAAACTGCATGGAAACGATATTGGGAAGAAAAGGCATGCCCTTCCTCTTATTCCTATAAAATCATACCCCTGCTATATCTTCGAGACAACTTCAAAAATATCCCTGATATCCTCATGGATAAACTTCCTCAATTTTTCCAGGTTCGTTGATGAATTGAAGGTAGTTTCGAAGCAGGGCTCGACTTCTTCCATAACCATCTTTAGCCGAATGTATGAAGATCGAAGAGCAATTGATAAGGGAGGGAAAACTGCAGGGAACGATCTGTTCAGTACGAACATCTGCTCTAGTATCAGGCGGACTCGGGACAGAGCAGATAGAAGAAGGGCACGTCTTTGTCGTCTTTCAGTGCTGTCGTCCAGGTGCGATATCAGACTCTAAGAAGGGGTATTAGAACAGAATTCTCAAGCATCTCCTTAATCTTTAATTGGATCCGGGACAGCTATCCACGCCTCGTCGTGCCAATCTAGCAGAGCTATTGTACTTACCTCTTCGCTTTCGAAATGTACCCTAACGCTCTTTATATCTGCCAAATGTTCCTTCAGCCAGTTAGATTGCAATGATACAATTGCTTGGGTCTGTTTTGCTGGCGTTTCGGTTGGATATTCGTACTTGATATGATCTCGTAGTTCTTGAATGTGTCGTTTCATTGGTTCGCCGAAAGTATCTAGTCCACTGGCGAGGCTACTTCATGATTAGCTTCTTTGGGTCTTTTGAAGCATATGACTTCTTGCGGCGGTCACATACTCTTGAGCAGCCATATTCATAAAGTCGACGCTTGACTTCTCCACAACCTCAACTGATTCTGTATTTTTTATCTGTGAAAGGCTTGGAAGTTTGGTCTCCTTTGCATCTGGTCCGTTCTTGATCTTAGCCGTTCTGTTGGAGTAATTTGAGAATTCGGCTCGCTTGCTGCGAGATTCGATGTCTTCGGAGGAGGGAAAAGAGCCAACAGAGTCGGTACGTTCCTGGTCGGGAAGTCGGTGACTGAATTGGACCGAAATCCGGTCGCCGTCAATGAAGGAGCTATTCATTACCACTTGTGCTTCTTCTGCGCTCGTGGATTTTTGGAACTCCACAAATCCGAAAGCCCTTTGGTCGCGCCTTAGTCTATTTTGTGGAATATGCACGTCCGTGATCTCTCCAAAGCCAAGAAACTTTTCGTGGAGGGCTTGCATGCTCAGGGAGCTACTGAATCCGCTAATACAGAGCCGTTTCATTGAGCAAGGTTGACCAGCCTCGACTCTGCGAGACAGCTTCCGAGGTAGCTCCACGTCATTGGTGGTGGTGGTGGTGGTGGTGGTTGTATGGCTTGAGGATTCCAAATCTTTGTGGTTAAGGTCGCTGCTTGCAAAATGAACCTGGATTACTCTGCCATCAACGAAAGAGCAGTCTAGTGCTATTTGAGCTTCTTCTGCACTCTCGATTTTCTGGAATTGGACAAATCCGAACGTTTTGTGGTCGCCTGTTCCATCCTCATATGGAATGAACACATCCGTGATTTTGCCAAAAGGGACGAAGATATCGTGTAGCCTTTGAGTACCTAGGAAGGGGCTGATTCTGTTAACAAAGAGTCGGTTCTGTGGTAGACCAATCTCAACCCTTCAAAGTATTAGACATCTGGGAAATGTTCAAGAGTGGCTAGGACACTAACCTTTTCGTTGGCCGCTCCTGATCGTGGTATTCTTGGGTTGATCTATCTGCCTGCATTGCGTCAATATCTGGCAGTGGCCTACTCCTTAGGAGGGTCGTGAGGTTTCTTACCTCTCGTTTTGAAGACCTCTGCCGCCTCCAAGAGCGAGATTTCATTGCGTATGAAGTTATACAGATCGTAAGTTCTTGTGTCAGGGATGAGAGGAGAGGGGTCTTGATACGTGATGGGTCTACTTATTTGTTGTGGGGCGGTCGCGTGGATCGAGTTGCTGTTCCTAGGTCTCGCTCGAGCATGGAGGTCGGCGGCAAAACAAAGACCTCGTTCAGACTCAGAGACAACCATGCCAAACATGTGAACACACTTGAACAGATTAGGCTCTACTCTCATAGATAGAGCTTCAAGCCGGAAAGTCAACCTCTCTTCTTCCGTAGACAAACCACATGCATTTGAAAAAGGAGGGGGGTCACGTGAACTAGAAAAACACTTGGTAACTTCGTTCCCGGTTTGCTTCGTCCCATTTATTAAACCAACTGCTACAATGAGCACTCGCACTAGTTCTGCTGATGATGGAATCCATCTGTATGTCTTCAAATTTTTCTTACAAGTCTTTTAAGCCTAGCAAACCAAACCTGGTGAATGAAGGTTTTGTTAGAAGCGCACCGTCAAGAAAGAGGCAAAGCTGGAGGAAAAGTTGTACTTAGAGAGATATGACATATATAATTATATTGAATTGATTCTTTTTTGAAAGACGTGAGTACCGTGTAATGGAAGAACTTCATGTTACTTCCATTTCTAGTAAGTGACATCCCCGTTAGTGAGATCTTTTCTAAACCTATATATTTGAAAATAGGTTAGTATAACAGAAAGCCTTGGTTGTACTCGGGTATCTCGAAGTAGGTTTTTGAAAGCATGAGATTCGTCTAGCGTCGAGAATGTCCATGTCCAAGTGAGTGATTCGGTAGTGGAAGATTTCGTTAAAACCTTGATCATAGTAATATCATACAGTTGAGTCATCGAAAGCTTGCTGCATAGAAAACTTGTCATTATATTAGTGCTCGGCTCTTTGCAGGTGACCACAAGTAGTATTCGCAAAAGCACAATCAATACCCCCAGGCAAAAGTTAGCTACTTTGCCGTGACAAAACAGAGTGCGCACATCCCAACCTAATTGCCTCCCAAAAACGCCACCAATACCGCATATCACAGCTCCATTTGTTCCTGTGTAATTGAGCTCAGAGCCTCTTATGCAAAACACACGAAAGAGACTCACCACTAGCTAAGATGACTGCGAACGCAGCAATCAACTCCTTCTTCCCTCCATAGTCTCCACTCGCGGCATCTTGAAAGTTTCATCTACAGGTGAAGGGAAAGTGAACACCATCTCAGCAACGCGAAACCTAGTTCGTTCCTTGATAAAAGAAATGACATCCTTTCTCATCTGCTTGTTCCCAGCTTTGAGCTCGCGAGCGTCTTGCAGGGATATAGGTGGCTCTGACTTTAGGTTTTCGTGTAGAGCGGAGTAGTCGTGAGAAATCATGGTTCCTGGATCGAAATCAACTTCGGAGAGGGACTTCGACTTTTGCTGCTGGTAGAATCCTGGGGGTGCTAAGCGAGAGGATGCCTTGATGTGTTTCAGCAGGTGTTTCAGCTAAAAGTTAAGGAAAGCAGAGAACCTACACCTGGTGTACCAGCAGAAGCACGTTCGCCGCCGATGGGCCCAAATGGTGAGTTTCCAAACCCTGGAGGAGGCGGATGACCGTGATAGGTAACGACAGGAAGATTGGTTGTTGGAGAAGAATTGCTGCCAACTGAAGTAGATCTTCTGCCATCTGAGAGAAACACACTACCAACCGAACGAGGTCTGCTACCATGAGATGGTCCATCATTGCCAATATCTGTAAACCCATCATCTATTTATTATTAGTAGAAGGTCTATGGAAAGAGACAATGGGACTTATACTTTCAAAGATCTGCGCCATGATTTCGGAAGAGCAACTAGATCTGTGACTATGGCTTCTGACATGGGAAGATGACTGGACAGGTCGCGAGGTTGGAGAGTGTTGAACATTCAATGTGAAAAGTGGAGTGGATGAGGTACGACGAAGGCGATAGATTCTAGAGGTTGTTGGAGATACCAGCTGGTCCTGGAAGACCCAGTAGCTGTCGCTGTCGCTCTCGTTCATCTTGAAGGGGAGACTAAAATAGCAGAATGGGACGAAGTATCCAGGTCTCAATGCGTACGCGCTGATGAAATGAGGTATATAATGCGTTTTCGCTCGCGGTTGATTGAGCGGCAGGGAGGTTTGGTAGGCCTTGAAGATGGACGTCTGCTCCGTTGAAGGCGAACACGACATCTCTCCGCTGACAATATCTACCGGGAGACGTGAATGATTTGTTAAGCGAAGGCGAACGGTTTTTGGTGAATTGGCCGAGGACTTCGAAATACTTAAAGATGTCGAGTCTTCAAAGACGCTTGAAGGATCAAGATGAGGGCGACTTGTCAAAAACATTTGGACTTTGGACTTAAAAGGAAAAATAACACGATGGCTAGCATCTGTAAGAACATGAGTATATTCCTTGACTCCAGCATACTCATCGTGAGAAGAGCAACGAATCCGCATAGTGTTTGCATCCGCTACCTAGGTAAATAATTATCTCTAAGTCACCTACACACATTTCTATAAAATGCCGAGGATTCTTAAGAATGTTGAATGTCCTATAAAATAATGAGTTTTGAAGGAAGCCGTCAAGGACTTATTCCTATGTATCTAGGTAGGCAAGGATGAAAGTGAGTAGATGGTTCCTGCCGAACATAGAACTGATGAGAGCGCTCGCGGAAATAGCAAAAGAATGTGAAAGTGATACCACAAGAGATGGTAGTAAGTTTCCAAGGCTTGCTACTGTCTTGCTTCCTAACTCCCTTCCTAACTCACCTCATCAACTTCAACCACTTCTTTGGGAATATTAAACATTTTCCTGTGCGTAAAGCTGTAATTACAATAGGTTGTCAGCTGCCGCGCCATCTTATCCTTGAGTTCAAGGTCTCCGGCCAATTTTATATCCCATGCTAGGTTTAGAAAATTATGCCTGTTTGCAAAATTTCGTGTCACTCAAGGCGCAGCTGATCATGATCAGGCGAGATAAATAGGGGGATGGCCGTTTAATTATCATCGTTCGCAGTGGGTCTATCATCTATTTCACAGCACGGACCAACACCTACCTATGCCATGTCAGAAAAAAATGTTGAACTTCAGATTTCATACGATACCATCAACACGCAACAAAACACACTAGACCTCACCATGATTCAAAGAACACTCATCAGACACACCCGGGCATTGAGCTCTAGCATCCGATCAGCACCCAGGACTGCTATAAGCAGACCTCAATTTATCCCAGCAAACAGACTGCCAGCTCGCCCATTGGCGTCAGCGAGATGGTATGCCACGGAACCAGAGGCAAAGAAGGACAGTGAACCTGCGGCTGCAGAAGGAAAGACAGAGGCGAAGACTGAGGATCCCGTCAAGAAGGAACTAGAGGTCAAGGAGAGGGAGATTATCGATCTTAAAGTACGTCGCAACACCCTCCTTCATCAATTTTATCACGAATCTAGCCTAACCTGACTTCTCCCCTTCTAGGATAAATACGTACGCTCCGTAGCCGAATTCCGCAACCTGCAGGAGCGGACAAAACGAGATATGCAAGCAGCGAAAGATTTCGCGATCCAGAAATTCGCCAAGGACCTTGTCGACAGCGTGGACAACCTCGACCGGGCCCTGACCACGGTTCCGCATGAAAAGCTCAATGCATCCGAGAAGTCGGAGCATCTTCAGGACCTAGTATCGTTGTACGAGGGTCTCAAGATGACAGAGGGGATCTTGATGTCAACGCTGAAGAAGCACGGACTAGAGAGATTCGATCCCAGTGTCGAGGGCGAGAAGTTCAACCCCAACGAACACGAGGCGACTTTCATGACGCCCATGGAGAGCAAGGAGGATAACACGGTGTTCCTCACGCAGCAAAAGGGCTTCAAACTTAATGGGCGGGTATTGCGGGCTGCGAAGGTCGGTGTTGTAAAGAACAGCTAGATGGGTCTCTGGGAGACGTGTATATGTATAAGTAAGGATGGGCTCACTGAAGGCGTTGGTTTGGAAATATTACTGCTCCTCTCTTGAGCGAACGGATCTGATGGGTCTGGATTTGTATGCATTATGTTGTATAGCTCTGGGGCTCTAGTTACATAAAGGCACAGACAATAATGGCTCTCTTATCTGGGCATTCTAAATGTACATGTATAAATCCGTGGCTCTGCCCACCATCATTACGCTCCAATTAGGTGTCCTTTCCTTCTCTGCCTCGAAACATCGCGTAACTATTGTACTTGCACAACGGTATGAAGATGTTTGGTAATCATAAACATCCTCCCACAATGCCATGCCATAGCGATTTGCCCAAAGCTACAGAATAGAAATTAGTAATAAGTAGAGAACTTTCCTAAAATGCACATCCGAAGATGTATTTGACTGACTCCTCAATCACCACGCGAGGCTGACCCCACCATCACTTTCGTAAAGGTCGTCCTCATAAAAGCGATTCTCTTGTGGGTCCTCCACGTATGGTGCTTCATAATTGGCCAGGTTGGAAGCATCCTCTCGTGTGTCCTCCATGTATGTTGGTTCATAATCGGCGACGTCGGAAGCACTATCGACCACATAAGAGCCACTGGAAGAACGAGAAGCAGCAGCAACAGCAAAACCATTACAGCCTGCTTCTTCGAGAGCTTTAAACAGGTCGTCCTTAAGATTCCGCAGCATTTCGATTTCCATCATAATATCTTCGAACCCAGCCGCCACGTCCTTAGCCAGCTCCATTTCCACATCAAGCATCTGCTCATTATCAGCTAGCTCTCTGAAGAATCGTTTGTATTGCCCTTTTCGCTTCTTGGGACTTGACTCTCCATCGATTTGTTCTGACAAAATAGCTTTGGACGGGTCGCCATTAATGGGCATATCATGCACCTGTGTGCGAGGTGTGGTTCCTGACGAGGTGGGATCGTTCAGATTTTGCTCTGATGATGTATGAGACAGAGATTCAGACCGATTTTGGACTTGGTCCATGTAGTCTTTGCTTATACAGGAGCTAGACAGATTGGACGATTTGGATTTCCTCTTCAGTGTCTTTGGCTGTGTACGCTTTTCCTTTGCCGATTTTGCGGCATCCAGCATCTCCTGCATCCGGTCCACTTCTTGATCGAGGTGCCATTTTTCGGCTGTTACTCCCTTCATAATGTCGGTGTTTCTGTTGAGAATCCAATTTTTTTGATATTTCTTTCTCTCCACCCGATCAACGGCTTCTCTGAACTCGCGTGCACCCAAGAGTGGATCATCTGGTGAAAGATAATATATAGCACCATCCTGCAAAACCTTGTCAGCATGCTACTCATTTCGACAGAAAAGATGCTAGACCTACATTGGTGTATGTCTCTGCAAGAGACGCGGTATCCGAACTTGCAAGGCTTGTGTTTCCATCAAGTAAATGGGCTCTGTCTATATCGACGGCAGCTTGAGGATCCATGGCACTGAAGTTTCGAGGTACTTGGGTGGCATCAACACCTAGGTATACAAGTCAGAAACGTTGATCTTTGGGTTCGAGAAATTACAGACCTAGCGGTGCGTACAGCAAAGTCGGGCTTTGCGGCGTCTCGTATCCTCCCGATATTCCTGTCACGATACTGAGCCTACCATTTTTGAACTGCAGCTTCATATTACGTGGTGGCGGGATAATGCCTTCCATGTCGTACCTCTCAGATGGAATTGGGCTCTATTGTTTTCCATATTTTTAGCTCTGTGACTACGGCCGAGGCCAAGCTAACAAATAACATTTGAACTTACTTGAATTTTCATATCTTTGTGTTTATAAGGATTGCCCTCAATCGCGCCTTGGGCCCAGAATGCAAATATCTCTGGGGTGATTCGAAGGGCCCGCGGATCTCCTTCGGAATCGATGTCGTCAGAAACCTCTTCGACATACCATCCGTATAAATCGTCTTGTTGATGGATAGGTATTGCCTCGGGGCCGATACGGCGGGGGTAACCAACAGCCGAAAGGGTCGCTTTGTAATGATAGGACTCCATCTTCCTTCTGTGCGCAGCAGAGAGCTCACGTTCGCACTCAGGATCCACCCAAGAACCATTACACGAAAGGTACCCAAAGTTTGCCCAAACCCTATCCTTCCAGTAATGGCTCGGTGGCAGTTTTGGGGAGACCACCTCGAAATTGTTCCAGGCAGCCGGTGCCTTGCTTCCCTGCAATGAATGGTATCCACTGTCTCCGACCATACTACTTGGTATTGCTGGTTCTGGCCCCTTCGATAAATGATGTCCAATGCCTCTGTCAGGGCTCCTTGAACTTTCTGGCTGCGGCGCCTTCGAGGGATCGTATCCGATATCTTCGGCCACTTCCTCTGGAATCACTGGCGGCGGTCGGTGCGATGCAAACGACATAATCTTTCTTGCTACAATTGGATCCCAGAAGAATTTCATCCCCTGGGGTAGTCTGGTTATGCTGGTCAGTATGTTGTAAATATACGTTGGAATACTTCTTACTGTTCGATGTGTGTCATGCAAGAGATGGGAAGTTGCACTTCGACTTGTGGGGGACTCCTCGATCTATTAGAGTACAAAGCCGAATGCAATGGGTCTGGCAGCGGGTCATATTGCGAAATGACTCTGCCGCGCGCGTGTGCGTAGGCATGAAGAGTACTTGCTGTAATCTCGAGGCGGGCGTTGGGATTCGGCTGTCCGCGGATTCCTGACTCTACTTCTTCAGGATGGCTCACTGCCATATTTATAAGCCCTAGTCAACCTTGGGTGAATGCAATCATAGAGACTTACATCTCGTAACCATCATTAGCGACTACCCAGGCTTGTATACTTTGGCGTACGGGAGGTACAAAATGCGCTTCGTATCAGACACAGGCATGCATGGATGCATAGATGGGAAGAGCAAGGCGAGTATCGAAGGAGTAGAGCAGCACACGAGGGGCTATATTGCTTGTCGTCGTCGCCAGGATATGCGCCGTTAAAAGCAGGCTCGCTTGACTTGAAAGCGATGCTTTCCATGGAGCGAGTTGGATTGTGAATTGTTGATCACGCGTAAATCTCCAATTTAAAATTGCAATTTAAACAAGAGGTTGTGAATTTTGCCTACAGATACCGGTCGTCGAAATACTTTGCTGGCGGGCAACGAACTTGCTCGGCTACGAAGGCCTTGTAGGTACCATGGACATGTAAATATACTTCGGTACAAAACAGTCTCAAGTGAGCTGCAGAAAGGATCACGAAAGCACTTATACAAGCAGACTGCTAATATCACAACACTATGTATATTTAATGATCATCAACCGCCAACTCCAAGGCTCTGGTCCGAATAGGCGTGGACAAAGAATAAATTCCAATCTAACAGAGTGCAGCCAATGATGGGGATATTGCATGCATTGAACCCAGCTTCGGGTATGAGAAGGCTACACCAAAACAACTCGTTCAGGCAATAGCACAAATAACAACAGGTTCCTCTGGCACTCACATTATTGCTAAATCGCATATATACGTTTCATATCAAACAAGTATATCACGCGACACCGGAGGGAATTCCTGGATCAAAGGGATTCGTACAGGTCATCCTGGAGTGTTATATAGTTATTGAGGACAGTGATGGTGATGTCTCGACGGAGCCGGGAAATATATTTTACGTTTTCAAAATCCACGTGATACCCCTCAATCTGAACCTCAAGCATGCCTTCCTTCCCTTTCGTATCTCCCTACAAGTAATACTTTCCTTATCAAGTCAATTCTACTTAAGCAGAGCAAGGACGAAACTCATCTTGCTAACTAGCACGACCTTAGAATTCTTAAAACCCAAACGTTCAACTGCAACGATCTCAGGCAACAGCCCAACACCAGCTTCCCCTCCAATCCCTCTTCTAGGACTAAGCCAACATCACCAACAGCGACAACACCCACAACCTTCCAAAGAAAATGTCTACACCATCCCACACTCCCAAATCCACCCACAAACCCCACACCCCCCACGCCGCGTCTTTCTCCTCATCAACCCCTTTCACAGGAGCAATGCGCGACCGTCAAGCCCGCAACAAAGACTACCCGACGTCCGAGGACTCCGATTCATCGTGGGACGGGCCGAGTGGACGATTCGATGCGTAAGTAAAACATTTCCCTCTCCTCTTTATTCCTTTGGAGTCTAGTTTCATGATGTAATAAAGCTAGATAACTCATTACCTTACCTACCTACTTTTAGTTTTACTTTTGCTGACCGAGGTGATAGATATGGCAATGATTCATATTCCAATATCCAACTGCGGCGCGACGCGGCTATTAAACTGGATAATCCGGAAATTGTCATGATGCTGGCTATGGCTAGGAACGATGTACGTTTATGTTATCATATCCCTTTACTTCCACCTCTTCTCTCCCTCTTATTTCCCTCGTCCACTTTCACTTTCACTTCCGTAAAAGAAAGAAAGGGAATCAGCGCTGATGACCACAAAAGAGCGTCCCAGCTACGAGAAACTATCTAATGAACATCATGTGTGGCTTTACTACGCAAGAGGACCTAGAGGCCGAGGAAGCGCTGAGGGACGAGAAGGGCAAGGCAGCGGGATCTGGGTCTGGGTCCGCATCGCGGAGGCTTTTTTCTGGGTAATGGAAAGAAAGGTCTTTGAGAGTCACTGAGAAGTAGGTATCTTTGACAGGAATGACTGGACTGCTAGACTGGAGAGTGTTTTTTTCTTCGGGTTGGTTTTATTGGGTTCTACTGTATTAGCAGGGCGCTTCGGTTTCACGAATTAACGACATCACGTATCAAGACTAACAGGTATTGCGAATCAGTATGTTATTTATCCCATCTTCCTTCCATGTGATCTTGCCAATATACAATGATCTACAAAAAATACAATGACCTTCCTTCCCTCTCCCCATGCTAAATCAACGCAAGCGTATCTGCCTGCGCACCTAATGTATCATGCCATGTCCAAAAGTCAAATCCAATTCAATCCCAATGCTCCAATTATCCTTAACGCCTGCCCAAGTGCAAAATTTATGCATATCTAACCGTCGGTTGCCAACTAGGTGCTGGGGGCTGCCACCTCCCGTTCTGGTCCCAACCTGCACTATTTCCATTCCCACCTCCACCTCTAGGACTCCCATTGGCGCCGCGCATCTCAGGATTCAGAGGCGGTGGCGGCATGCCGTTGTTCCACTGATTCGGCGGTCCTCTTCTCCCCCCATTCCAGCCTGGAGGAACGTTCTGTGCTAATGCAAGCTGGCGTGCTTTGGCGTTCTTATTCCTCCTGACACGACTGACGCAACATGAGAGGATGGCTATGATCAACAGCCCACCGACTACTGATGCTATAGCAATGACCAGCGTCCTATTTTTCTGAATCCAGCTCTTGATCTCTTTCCCCACGCTCGAGCCCGTGCATTGTCCGTTGGCACATTTCCCTCCACCTTGACATGATGTTCCATCGAGGAAGTTCTGCTGCATAGAGTAGCATACATTCGAGCCGAATTCTGGAGAAGCGCAAGAGATTTGACACCCTGATGAAGAGCACGCGTACGTGTCGTTGCCTGTAGTGTATGAACCCATCAATGTTTTGCATTGCAGGTCTCGGGATGTGCATTGACCTGCAGCACAGGCAAGAGAACTGGAGTTACCGCATTTTGTCCCTGCAAATTATTAGCAAGTGACCATAGGAAGAGGGAGCAGAGCAAATTTACCATCTGGAGCATTAGCATCTACTGGACAGGCAGCAGCAGTACCACTGCAAGTCTCTTGAGGATCGCAGCTGCCTGTACTAGCCCGGCAGATGGTGCCATTCGAGGCAAATTGACAGGATGATGAACAACAATCCTCATTGCTGGGATCACAGACTGAGCCAGACTTGAATTTGCAAGTAGTTGCATCGCAACAAGGGTTTGATCCACACCCACTCGTGCCACCACAGTCACAGTCTTCGTCAGCTTCTACAATTCCATTTCCACATTGGCTTCCAGTGATGATAGAAACGTCCTTGTTTGCGGCTAAACAGGTGGTCTTGACGCTATTCCTGCCAAAGCCAGCACATATGTTGCCAATAGTGCAAGGTGAGAATTTCTGAATATTAGACCCAGTACTGGGATTCATGATGTAAGCCCCACCAGCATCACAAGTATCTGCACTGAGAGGACAACACTGCTGAGAGGCAACAGTAGTACCATCGGCACAGGTTTGTGAAGTGCAATCGTGGACAGCGCCAAAGGTATGTCCAGTTTCATGAGCAACGACCTGCCACTCCGTGCTCGTTCTGACAACGACATTCGCACCACTGATAGTTTCGTTGCCTGCTCCACTCGAACCTGCAGCAACCTGGGAGGTAGTAACACAAGCTTGGCCTAGCCATGCCAAACCGACAGCAGATCCGGTGGCACATGTGCTGAGAAGTGTCCAGTAGGCATTCTGATCCCCACGCTCACCCCTCCAAGCGGAAAATAGGTTGAGCCTATCTTGGATGGTGACATTGTCACTGCAGCCAATGTTCCAAGGGGCTGCAGCCTGAGCGGTGGCAGGGCAATTCGAAGGGCTGACTGTCAAGTTTTTCAGACCGAGGGTGATGTTAAAGCTATCCTCATATTGGGTTGAAGCTGTGTTGATCACCGAGATAATATTAGATCGAACGGCTGAATCATTGGCGAATTGACCCGTATACGTGCAGTCAGTTGCCACACCTACGAGAGCGACTTTTCGAGTTGACGGGCACCCAGCTGTCTGCCCAATGTTGCTTGTCAAATTGACACCTGCAGAGTTTCCCCCAGTCTGTCCATCAATCTGGCGACCAAAGATTGAACGTGTTGACTCTGATCCCCAGAATTTGTCGTCCCGCTTCAACATGGCCCTATATACAGGGTGGTCCAGTTGGGTGTTGAATCTCAATCCATCCGCAGAGCAAGAAGGGTCCTCTCCAGCGCCTCTCTTCAACTCCGTATGTAAGACCCCATCGCCATCTTCACTAAACGCCCCAACGATATCCGAGTCTCTCCAGACAACCATATATTCGTGATTACTCTCCTGTGGTACCGGATCCAGATTATGCCTTGTTTGCATGTAATTCGTCCTTGTTTGAATATGGTGATGATTCCCATCAACTCTGAATGCACCCTCGAACAGCGGATGTGCGCCATCTCGTTGGACCATAACACGAGCCCAACCAACATTCTCCCACTCGGCGCCTATATAACGTTGCAGTAACGCCTGCCCCTTGAAAACTCTATATTCCGCTCTGTCGATCGGCACCGAATTGCTTATTGTTCCATCGGGGGCCAGGTACGAGACCATGGCTCCATCTGCAATAACATCGTGATTTGGCGATAATATTAACTTAATATGTTGCTTCTCTTCGTGCAGGTCAAATGAGAGGGAAAATTGTGATAGCGCGTGTATTCGATTCGAGGGTGTATGTAGTACTGCGTTATCTACTGAAGATAGATATGTAATGGGATTTCTTTGTTGTGAATGGGCTGCTCAGGAGGTTAGCTGCCGGTTCAAAGGTCGCATAGCTGAGGCTGAGGCTGAAGGGGAATTTCATACCATTAATAGTCGAGAAAAACACAGCACTGACGATACTCGCCGTTATGCTCCTTATAAACCTCATAGTCTTCGTCTCGGATTCCTCGGATTGCAGGATAAGAGTGCTCCTCTTGAAGGTTACCGCCTCCTCTCAACTCGCTCCAAAATCCGTTGTTCAAGGGCTCATCCAGGCGCACTCGAAGCTTTGCGTATAACTGAAGTCGGTGTTCCAATATGTATATGTATGAATAGCTCAGCGACAATGAGTGAGTATATAAGTGTGTAGATGCGGTCGACTGCAATGAGCGAGAGTGTAAATGATTGTTGTTGGTGGTAGATGTGATGCGATGCGATGCCTCGATAGAGTTGATTGTTTTCGTCCGTCCTGGCCTGGTAAGACTTACTATAGGGTCTTCTAAGTCGGCGGGCCGATCGGATCGATAAGCAAGCGTGGCTCTAGGCCTGAAACCTTCTCTGGGTCTGGGGCAGCGGAGGGGAGAAGGCGAAGCGCTGGACTCGATAAAGAGGAGGGAATTAATCACCGTCTAAAGTACAAATAGGAACTTTATGAGCAGTCGATTCAAATCCCAAGTCATTCGAGTCCCAAGCAACCGGATGATTGCATTGCGTGGACTTGCAGCGCCTTTCTTTGTTCTCATAAGTGGAATACGAAGATCAATGGAACTGCGGGCTTGGCTTGACTTGGCTTTCCTTTATTCTTACAAACTTCCCAAATTCCCAATCTCACCTCACAAATCATGGTCAAATAAGCTTACTTTTCCGCCCGATCGTCTGGATTCATGTCGGTCCCAACCACACACAACAAAGTGGCAAAGTACTTCGTACTTTTACATACTCCGTAAGTCATCCTGAACATCACTTCTTCCTCCCGGCTAGCAGTCAGCCACAGCGACAATACACCATTCTTCTCTTCTCATTGGCTGTGCTTCTCGTTGTGAGATTCCCACGCCTCCCCCCTATCTCCATCCGATCTCGTCTCTGCAGTGTTTCGTCCCGAGCAGTATCAAGTTTCACGTACCTGTTTGGAGCCATTCCTCTTGATTACCTGTATCACATGTCTGTGCCGTATTCCACGTCCCTTTGATTCATTCATAGATAGAGAGATTCATAGATAAATATATATTTCAATTCCATTCATCTAATGTCCGAATGGTCTCTAATCCGAAGTCCTGCATCTGACTAGCCCATACCTACCCGTATCCGTACCACCCCACCAATTGTATCTTGCACAAATCCTAACCAGCGTTGCACAGATTACGTACAGTAGTAGTCTTTTCGTTTTGCATGGTGGAGGCTGTGCTGTGCTACGGAGTATGCATAAGTGTCACGAGCACATGTTAACCATCCATCCCCTGTTTCGGAGTTAAGAGACATGACATGGGCACGGAGTCACGAAGGGTACAAGTAACAAAATACCAAAAAAATATGTCTCTTAGTATTGCTCATTTCTCTTGGCCGGCATATAATCTATGCCGAAAGCCGATATCTAGCTACATATCTGTGGCTTAGATGACCATGACGAATTTGTATCCAAAAGACTTCCTATACTATGTTGATTCAGCAGCTACAGTACAGTACAAGAGTACGCATTGCCATCATGAACTACCAAGGTGACAGTTTCCAAGAAAAGTCCAATCTTCATTGACTCCAAAATCCTTTTGCAAAACAAGCAAACGCTAGATGACTTTGACCTGAACATTCTTCTCCTACTTCTTCCGCGATGCTTGAACAGTCTCGATGATCTTGTCTACCACGCTGGGATCCGAGAGCTGTTTGTCATTGTCAGCATGTACACGCATAGCCTCAAACTGAGGGAAACTTACAGTTGAAATATCACCAAGCTGGTCCTCCTCACCTGCCAGAATCTTCCGCAAGATCCGACGCATAATCTTCCCGCTTCGGGTCTTTGGCAGATCCGGCACAACGAAGATAGCCTTGGGTGCTGCAAAGGGACCAATACTCTTTCTTACTTGAAGAATAAGGTCTTTGCGGAGTTGGTCTGTGACCTCGTTTCCTTCCTTGATAGCGACAAAGGCGTTGACGGCTTGGCCAGTCAGCTCGTCGTTGATACCGACAACGGCTGCTTCTGCGACGGCGTGGTGCTCAATTAGGGCTGCTTCGATTTCGGCCGTCGAGAGACGATGGCCGGAGACGTTGACCACGTCGTCGACTCGGCCTCGGATCCAGTAGTATCCCTCGTGGTCACGACCAGCTCCATCACCCGTGAACTGGGAAGAATCAGTATAGTTAGCCAAAAGCTAGTGATGAAAGTTTACTAACGTAGAGACCCTTGTAAACATTCAGGTATGTATCCATATAACGCTTGTGAGCACCCCAGACGGTACGAGCCATACTCGGCCATGGCTGCTTGAAGGCCAAAACACCCTCCACATCATTTCCATGGATCTCCTCGCCAGAGACCGGGTCAATGATCGCGGGCTCAATCCCAAAGAAAGGAAGAGATGCGGATCCAGGTTTGGTGGGAGTGATACCAGCTAGAGGAGTGATGACGTTACAGCCAGTCTCGGTCTGCCAGTATGTCTACATTCAATTAGTAACTTCAAGCTCAGTAAATATCAGCCTTTACTCACATCAATCACGTGTGCTTCCTCCTTTCCAACAATTTCGAAATACCACTTCCAAACTTCAGCTGCAATTGGCTCACCCACGGAACCCAACACACGGAGATGTTTCATTTGTGCCTTGACATGATGGTCACCAGCGCGCTTGAGTAATCTCAGCGCGGTCGGAGCAACGTAGAATTGAGTGACTTCGTGCTTCGCGATCACATCCCAGTATCTTGAGAAGTTGGGATACGCGGGAGTACCCTCAAAGACAACAGTCGCAACACCCAGAAGCAGAGGAGCGTAGACTACATATGTGTGTCCCGTAATCCATCCCACATCTCCACCACAGAAAAACTTGTCAGAGTCATGGATATCAAACACATATTTTCCAGTCGCAGCTGCACCGACCAGGTATCCAGCTGTAGAGTGCATTACACCCTTTGGCTTACCCGTCGAACCAGATGTGTAGAGCAGGAAAAGTGGATCCTCCGAGTTCATTGGCTCGGGAGCAATATAGGAAGGCCATTTCTCGACCTCCTCATGCCACCACCAATCGCGGCCCTCGGTCCATGGAACCTCTGCACCGGTTCGCTTGTAGACGAGACAATGTGTGACGTCTGGGCATTGTTTAAGAGCATCATCCACAATCTTCTTCGTGCCGATTAATTTTCCACCTCGCTTGCCCTCATCAGTGGTAATGACAACCTTTGATTGAGCATCAATGACACGATCGCGCAGAGAATCGGCTGAAAATCCAGCAAAGACGACTGAGTGCACAGCTCCAATACGCGAACAGGCAAGGAAGGCAATAAGCGCCTCTGGAATCATGGGTAGGTAGATAGCAACTGTATCTCCCTTCTTAACACCCATCTGCTTCAGCACATAAGCCGTCCTGCAGACTTCTCTGAGGAGCTCGCCATATGTGAGAGTGCGGCCATCAGAGGCCTCATCCGCTTCGTAGATGATGGCTGGTTTGTCGGGGTTCTTGATCGCGTGACGGTCCACGCAGTTGTATGAGGCGTTTAGTTGCCCCTCCAAGTACCACGAGTTATCGCCGTTTGCAAAACTGCCTGCATGGACAGTCTGGAAATCTCGCTGCCACGTGAGCAATTCGCGACCTAATCTACCCCAGAACTTGTCGGGTTCGGTGATTGACTCCTTGTATAGTGACTGGTATTCCTCGAGGCCTACCAATCTTAGCTTCATTCACGCACCACAGAGATTTTGATTACGTACCACTCAAATGAGGTTTACTTGGATGTTCTAGTAAGGTTAATCGAATGCCTTTAAAGGAGGGACTTTACCGTAGATTCCTCAGCATGACTTACTCTCAAACATCTTTTGTGGGGGATCTTGAGCAATGGTTAGCAAGCGCATTTACAGGATGAAAATGCCACTCACGGAAAGTATCCACCAGGTGTGCTTCTGCCACCACGGGGTTACTGGGTTTAACATCGCCTTCCGACATGATTGCTTGGTTTGTCGTCGCTCAGAAGAAAAGTGAGGTTGGGGGAAAAGTGGGGTCAATATTGTTATGCGATCCGCGGTGCAAAGCTCAAGGCTGCTTGTGACCGAAAGCCGGAGGGACGCAAAGCTGCAACTTATAACCAAAAGGCGAATTCACACTGCGGGTGAGGAAGGGAGGAGATGGATTATTATATGGGCTTCTAGGCTCGGTAGATGAGGAGAATGAGTGTTCAGATGAAGATGAGGATGAGGAAGGGATGATGGGCACAACATATAAGTTCGGAGGAAAGGACCGTGGATTCAACATTCTATCTGGCTGGGACCATCACGCCCCGGCTATTGAATTCCGGTGAGTGGTTGGTTGGTTGGTTTCCAGGGGACCAGGCGTCATCCACCCATCCGAGAACATCAGCAAGGCGGCCTTGTACTTATATGGCCTAGCTGCGAAGGGTAAGCTGTGGGGTTTGGTAGACTCTGTCTGCACTGCTACTCTGCTCCGTGAACGTCTTTACTACCGTACCTACCCTACCCACCGTGGCACTTCCACTTCTGAAAGTCTATATGGGCATCTACCTAGGTAAAGGGCAGGCAGCTCTAGCTGGTCTGGAGGTGGTAAAGGGATTCATTCTAGACTCCATGTGTTTGTGGTACGGGTACGGTAGACGTACGGTAGGTATACAGACAGTACCGGCACGCTGGGTTCAGTGGGTTGAAGGAAATTGAACAAAGGAAATTAGTCGCCGTAGTACCGTACATTTCTCCGACGTAGGTATACTCTCGAGCGGGGTTACTCGGGATAGTACAACATAGCACAACATTTGCAGCTGTGCTTAAGACTTCTGCTGCGGGTGCAAGGCACACTCCTGCCTGCATTTCCCCAGAGTTGACAGATTGTCTTATGTGTGTGTGTGTGTCCCTTACATTCCAGAACTGGGCCGAGAAGGCGATTGGCTTTGCGAAAGCCGTGATTGGTGGCCGCACTCGGCGTTGGTTCCTCTTACGAGAGGGATGGGATTGTCTGTTCGTGGGCTGCACTGTTCGCACGGTGCACCTTGGTGGCAAGAGGTAGCGGGGTAAGAGACAAGGCTGAGTGAGGCTGCAAGTACGAAGCTTCGTAGAGTAACCTACCTACGGGGTATTGCCACTAGACTTCAGCATACAATTTATGAGGCTTGAATGTTCCGGGGTATTATCGCCGCTATTTGATCTCCAGATGTATCGTTCTCTCTCGGAAATTAAGGTAGCCAAGAAGGTTTTCCAGATTCGTTACTCTACTCTACTCTACTCTACTCTCTATTCCAAACTTCTATAGTATCTCTCAACTGATCTTTAAAATACCCCAAAAGAATAATCTTTTATTAATTTGTTGAACTGAGAAAGAAATTACAACCCAGGGGTTCAAATGCAAAGCTCGGCGCCGCTCGGGTGGAAGCTGAATAAAGTCTACCGAAAACATCCAGCCAATTCTCTCGGCTTCACGGAAAGCTCCTTTTCTATGTCTGCTTTACAGTACCGTAGAAAATTGTACAGTCAGCACTCGCTGTATCACATGAATATGTATCATCTCCCATATCAAGCAATATGCAAACAGATCCCGGTTCCATTCCGAACATGCCACTGCATAGACATGCATGCAGTTGTTTATTACTGTACATCCATCCACCTATGTTTATCCACTTCAAGCAACTCTCAACAATAATAAAATCCCAAACAATAAATTAATCTCGGGACTTCTTCCCCTACAAGTACAGTTCTCCTTCAGACATCTACTTCTATCTACCCAACTACCGGCCTATCCACCAACACCACTCCCCTCACCATACCCCTGCACCCCCCCTCGCCTGCTCCTTCGTCCCCTCCTCCATCCCACGCCCAACACCCCCCTCATTCCCCACCGTCTCGCCCCCAAACCCATGTTCACTAATCGCCTCTCCATACCTAACATTCTCCGCCGTCTTCTCGCCTCTGTCCTTCTTCTCCTTTGCAGCTTGTTGATCTGCTTCGTTGGGATTGGAATCTACATGAACCATTAATTAACGTCATATAGAATCAATTCTGTAACAAATATAACATACCACCGAATTGACCCTTGGCTTTAGCGTGCGGTTTCGTAAAAGTGTTGACGGATTCGTATCTATTGGAAGAAAGAAATATGTAAGTAAGCATAGAGTTAGTAAACAAGGCAGGCAAGGGAAGAAAGAACGCACTGGGTATTCTCTCCACCTGGCTCCGTGTCCATGAGTTTTGTGTTTGTCGCTTGAGACATCTTGTATGAGTATAGGTGGCTGATTGAGGAACTTGGGATTATGGAGAGGAGGGATGGGAGTTGAATTGGACATGGAAATGATAAGATGGGGGGACGGAAGCTGTTATGACGTATGCGGGGAAAGAGCCGAGAGAGTCAACGTTTTACTTCTAGAACACAGGGACTTATATGTAAGCTTGGTGATAAATTCGCTTCGCAGGAAGCGTGTAATTTGATATGGGTATTATATATGATACAAGTATATAGGTGGAGAGTGAACCTTTGCCCCCTTTTGGGTATCCTATTTTACAACAGTACATTCCTACAATGCTCTCATCTGAGCTCAACACCCAATTTATTTACCAACTCTCTCCTTACTCGCTCGTGATACTCATTAGCCTCCTCGTTCGTCAGTGTCCTCTCCAGACTCCGATAGTTGATCCTATAGCACAAGCTCTTCCTTCCCGTCTTGGGATGCGTAAATTCATCCACCTGCGTGACATCTTCCACTGCATCGCCTCCAATATCCCTCACAATTTCCATGATATCGTTTTCATGGAAATCCTGCGTATTTGCTCGTATCCCACCACCAGCAGAAGATGAGGAAGATCGAAGCCAAAACGCAACATCCTTGTAACAAGCTGGGAATTTCGAGAATGGTACAAACCGCTTCAGCTTGTCCATGTTCTCAGACACCCCCTTGAATTGGCCTAAGAAACGCTCATCCTGGGACCAAAATAATCGTATGTCAGGAATCTCAAAAAGAAGCATGGCAATCCTCTCCAACCCCACGCCAAAGGCCCACCCGACCTGTGAAGGCACGCCTGCTTTCTCCATTATATCCTGTTTGACCACCCCACACCCCAGAACCTCAAGCCAATCCCCCTGCCAGAAAATTTCCAACTCCCAGGACGGACTCGTAAATGGGAAGTACGCCTCAACCCACCGCACCTTCAACGGCTCATCCGCAAAATTCGGATTTGCAGCAATAGCAGCCTTCTTCGCCTGCGAAAAGATCTCCACAACCACTAGCTCCAGACTCCTCTTCAAGTGAGCAGCAATGGCTTCTGCCTCATCATGTGTATGCTTTCCATCCTGCAACGGATTCCTTTCCGCATGTGTCGGCGGATTTGGATCCTCCACAATCATATCATGCGTAGGCAAGGCAGCTATATCCTCCCACACGGCCTGCACTATATTCCCTCCTGGCGCCTTCTTGCGGTCCCACATGCGCGCTCCTTCCATCTGGTGGAATACAGGGTAGTGGGTTCGGTCGATGGCATCACGACGGTAGACATCTGCGCTGATGAGGAAGCCGGGGCTTTGGTTCAAGGCAAAGGTATCGGCTTGGTGGGCACTGGTATGGGTTCTTAGGACGGTGTCTTCGTTGACATAATAAGTATCTGTTTTGCTGCGTCCTGGATGGTCGGCGGGGAAGCCTAGGGAGTCGAAGTTTTGAAGGGTTGAGACAATAGGGAAGAAGGTATTGTGGTATTTGTAGGTTGGGGCTGGGAAGCGGGATTCGATGATGGAGCGGGTTATGGAGATGGGGTGATCTTTTTGGACGTGCAATTGGCGTGCAATTGAGGCAGCGATGGTGGGAGGGACATTGTACCAGTCATCTGTTTGGTAGGATCTGCCGCTGAGGTTGATGGTTTTTGGTGCTGTGGTGTGTTAGGAGCAGTTCTTCTTCTTTTGGAAGCTTGGGTCTACCTGAGGAGGAGCTATACCGACACTGAGTACATGCTGTTACTTTTCGGGAAGAGGAATTGATAAATAAGGTCAATGCTTCTCTCCCCGCAGAGAAAGGGCGACTTCGAAGAGATCTCATAATAAATGTCAGGCTTGGAGAGAGGCTCTACCTTAGCTTAGCTTGGGTATATCTCAAGCTTTCACTGACAGGCAGGCTCGGCAGGCTACTCCAGAGTAGGACAGGTACAAGTACAGTAGTAAAGAACAGCTTCTGTTTGGTTGATGCGCGGAACAGGGATGCGCTATGACGGAGATCCGCGGCTTCCAAGGTTTCTCTGCGAAATCGGCTGCAATTGAAGTGAGGTACAGAGAATGCTTCATTGAAAAAGACAAAGTATAACACAATTTAATAATTAAAGTCGAAATACTTTGGATATTTAGATTCTTTTTGATCTACGTAAGTATCTTGAAAGTGTTCATTTGATACCGGAGGTTTCGCCCCAAAGCAAAGGAAGGTCAAGGCCATTTTTATATCACCGGGCGACCTAGTAAAAAAGTGTGGACCGCATCCTGTTTGACAAGCTTCCTCTTCAGAACCCAATTCAGCCTTCCCACTACCGCTACTGTACTACATAATCTATCCTCACCTCC